GGAGTACACACATGTTTAAGTTTGATCAAGTATCAAAGTATACTGTCATTTAGGGGCGAAGCCCCTGAACGAACGGGGGTCCGGGGGCAGCGCCCCTGGGAGCGGGGTCCAAGGGGCGGCAGCCCCTGGCGGGGTCCAAGGGGCAGAGCCCCTGGCTCGGGTCGAGCTGTTATACAAAACCCGGATTTATAACAGTTTTGACTGTTGAGAAAAACTGTTATATGACAGTTTTGACAGTTTTTCAGACAATGAAGGTTTATAACCAATTTTTAGTCAGTTTTCTGGTACTCACGAAATTACACCATCTCATTCTCTTTCTTTCTCTCTGATTTTCTCTGAGTCTTATCCAATTGAGGATTTGGGAGTACCACCCAAATACTTCGATTTGAAAGTGTTTTATCACGATTCTCAGATTTCCAAGTGCCACTAAACCATATTTCTAACAGTATAGAGCTGATTTGGCAACGCTACTTGAATACAAACACAACCCCCTTGTGGTGTGGTTGTGGTATGGAGTATAAGGCTGTGGTGTATGGTTATCGACATTAAGGGTTTAGGGTTAGCCACATCAGAAGCGAGAAAGACGAAATTGGCATTGGGAAGAAAGAGGGATGATGTTCCTCCCTTAAAAACACCGTTGAGGGATGGTGTTCCTCTCTCAAAATGTGTTGTCCTTTTGTTACCATCACCACGCGAGATAACATAACACGCAAAAGTGGGAGGTCGGGGCGGTGTTTGGGCCATGCAACGACGTTTTATGATGCCAGGTCACAAAAACGCGAGTGGGTGTTGTCCACACCGATTTGCCTAAGCTTGTGGTATAGAAGTGAAGAGAACGTGGTACTAAAGTGGAATCATTTTTTGAATGATGATGTTATATCTATACATAATGATCTAAGACCATATGGTATGGTTAAGAATGTCAAACATTCAGTGAAATTCAGATTGTATTGGTCAAATGTCGTCATCATTTCCGCATTTCGTCTGTGTCCATATTGAAATCTGATGCAACGGAAGAAGTCTCCGCCCCCTACCATTTTGCTTTGTCCCTACCCATCGGTCGGACAATTTCTTCTAACTCGAGTTCGTCCTCCTCATTTAAATCTAGCCCAACACGAGCATCGGAAGAAGTTGTGTATCAACTAGAGCTTGTTTTTGTTCTTTTTGATTGTCGTCCTTCTAGTATATTGTCTCGTTCGTATTTTTTCCATCTTGGACTAAGAATTAACAATTTCCAACACGTATGCGACTTGAGTGTCTTTCCCGTTTCCTCGTGAAAAAAAAAGCAAAACCTCATGAAGAATTTCTTCATCTGTGTGACCGCTCCTCCTTTGGGTTTTTAGGTTGTTGTAAAACTAAGACTTAAGTGTCTCGTTCGTATTTCTACCCTCTCTTTCTATTTCATACTACCACCTCCCATTTTCCTTTTAGTGATCTCTCTTACTTAAATTTCATATCTTAAAAACTAAGACTTCTTAAAAATTTAAATATTAAAAATTCCGATCATTGCCAAACAACCTTTTTAGCAATGATTATAATGGAAATTCTTTTATTAAAATAAGTGATAAATTAAACATAAATTGTTCTCTAAACGAAGAAAGGTTGGTTTTATTTCTTAGAGATTCTTTGTATTCATGTTACTTTATTTACTCTATAATTAGCGATAGTTCTTAGTTAATAGATTAGCACGAATATTTCTGCTACAACCACTTTCTTTTGAACTTAAATATTCCAGATGTCCAAGAAAAGGGTTTACTTTAAATGCAAACCCAAGTTTAAAATTATCATTTGATAAACGAATATCTAATAAATTAAAAACGGATCTATTTTTTATTTTAACAGCACCACACTTATCCCAATAAGGCAATAACTAAAAGTTTTAGACATATCATTCTTTATGACAAAATAAAAAATTAGGGTCGGCTTCTATGGTTGAATAAACAAACTAAAATGGCAAAATATTTGTTTTATCGAAGATTTCTGATTAGATTATGAAAAATATTGCTTGTTAGTGCGATATCCAGCTCCCTTCGTTGCTGAATTTCACTGAAGTGCTTTCTTGTGTACAAAAATAAGAGAAAGAGACATTATGGTTTTTCAGTCTATGAAATCACATACATATATGTCTTGTTTGATAGTATGGTTGTGTTATCACTCAATTGGTTTGTTCATAGATCTAAAGACTTAATGTCAGTTGTGTCCCAATTCTGGCTATTATTGTGTAATTGTTTCCTTTTTCTAGATTTTTGCTAGTATTAAAATGCAATTGTCCCAAAAAAAAAATAGAAAATTTATATTCTATCATTTTGTTTAGAGTTAAAAATTATAGGTATGACTTTGACAAAATAATAAAAGAAAAAGAGAAAAAAAGTGCACCATGGATATCATTTTCTTTGGTGTAATGAAAACGACCTTATAACATAGCATAACCATACTTGGCATGTGTGAAACGGCATACAATGATTTCATTTATGGTTGTATTTTATACCATGAATATTTATATTAATTTTATGCTAACTAATATGATTTTTTTAATTATTTAATTAAATTTTCCTAAAGATTTATTGTAATAAAATGTTTATAATATAGGGAAATCTCCAGAAAAGTCCTAAAATTTTATCTTAATTTACGAAAAAATCTCAAACTAAAATTTGTTTACGAAAAAGCATGAATTACCGGTAAAATTAAGATAAAATTTTAAGACTTTTCTGGAGATTTCCCTATAATATATCGTATTTTTCTGGACTTTTTGTGTTTAATTTAAAATATTTAGGTATTGAAATTTGAAATCATGAATGGTTTTACATAGTCAAAATAATTAATATAAAATATTTTTGTGCTTTACAATAGTAGTTTTTTGCTTGCTATTAGTATATTTTTTACGATAATTGATTTGTAATGGTAATGTTTTATTGTTTTTCTGATATAATTACCATTTTAATATATATATATATATATATATATATATATATATATATATATATATATTTCTTTGCTGGATCTAGAAAGTACATATTTAAACAAAAAACAAATTATAATGAAATGGAAAAAGATCAAAAAATCGCCGACCACAATCACGTAAGGGCGTGTCAGCCGTCTAAAGCTCAACTAGCCACAAAATTTCATGGTGCTGACTCAGACTTAAATTACCTATTGTTGGATCAACTCGAACCTGAGTCAGCTCATCCCAGCTGGGTGGGTCCCTAGAAATTTCCGCTTTTTCATATCATCTTATCCAATACACAACCGCCAAGTCAGCTTCTCAATTTCACCCACATTTTTTATGCTTTTGGAATTGAGAAAAAAAAAAAACTTACATGTTTTTTAAATTAAAAGAATACAATTCACGAAGCATTACACACTAGTATACATTTAAAACCATTTTTAGTGTATTATGTATAAATAAATACTGTATTATTTTGTCTAAATGTATATAGTATAACTTTTTTTTTTGGAAAACGGCAAATATTATAAAAACCACATCAAGGAGATGTAGAGAACAAACTAACAGTACAAAACGAAAACGGATAAAAAAAACAAACGAAGAACATAAGAAACTACAAACAAATGAAATGACTAATATTCCAAACTCTCCGTATAACTTAACATATGATTTTAGAGAATATGTAACCCTGATTACATGTCGATATGTATTTTTTTTTTTTTTTATAAATACAGTAAATAATATAACCTTGTCAACCATAACTAATATTAATAATATGGGCCAATGATTAACAACTGTTAAAGCGAATAACAAGTTTATAAAGAAATCAAAAGGTATAGCATCCTTTTCAGATACACTCAACTAAACTACGTTATACTCATTTTTAGTAATTTAAAAACTTCGTTTCTACGCCATTCCTTAAACTTCAATTTTGTTTAATGAATTCTTAATTGCACGTCTCAATTCACGAAGTTCATCTTTAACCTATATTGTGTTCATCAATTTATTTTTTATAATTGAAATTCTTAAGACTCAAAGGTTGCAACCGTAGATTTCAAATGTCCCAATAAAGAGTTTTTGTTATTTGACTAGCAATGGTGTTTAACGTTACATATTTATAAATATTTTAGACATAACAAGAGAAATCAAATATCCTTCTATTTTTTTTACTATCATTTTCCTGCATACTTAATATGGTGATACTTGTCATATTAATAAATTTTTATTTTTAGTACACTAATCATAATCTAAAAATGGTAGGACCATAAAAGGAAAGATAGGAAGAATAAATATGAACATGTTTGATTTCTCTGTCATTTTGTTTACTACTTTTATTGACACCAAATTTGTCAAGATTGAGATCATATGTATGATAGTTTTCTGTTTTTTTTTTAAATATTGACACCAAATTTGTCAAGATTGGGATCATATGTATGATAGTTTTCTGTTTACTACAAAAAACTGTTTAAAACATAACAAATTCATATTCATTTATCAATTAACCATTCAATTAATAATAAAGAGTTTAAAACATCAAAAACACATCTACAATATATTATGTAACAATAAAGAGTTGAAATGAGTTTTATTGGATTCATATTCAATTAACTTAATTCATATAGTTATCCAAAACAAAATATCTTACGATTGTTCCTATTACTATTACCGATTTTACCCAAAAACAGCCATCTGATTGGAATCGATTTGTCTTAGATAAGATCAAATTATCTTACTTAACATTTCTTGAGACTAATGAAGTAATATTGTTTTTAATTGAGGGTTTAATAGGGTGGAAACATTTACCTTAGCTTTAAATATAAAAACCTAATCGTGTCATCTTTTTAACCATTCTTTAACCCTTAAACCCAATCGTGTTATCTTTTAACCATTCTTCAACGCCTTCTCAAAATCCACCTACCCACCATTATATATTCCCAAAACCATCCACTTCCTTCAAACTCTCACATTTCATTTCAATCTTTCTTCCCCACTTTCTCTCTCTCTAATATACGATCACCATTATTGACCACCTCCAGCTGTGAAGCATCACATCAATATGGAAATCACGGAGCTCAATCTCATCGGCGATTTCGAAGCCGGAATGAAATGCTTACAGAACCCATCTTTACTTTCTACAGTTTCTCTAATCGATAAAGTTCCTCGGTTTTATAGTTATTGGACATGGGGTGCTTTGATTCTTGCTGTTTTCGCTACTTTCACTAGTGTATTTAATAGGATTAAATTGTTTATATACCAGATCCGTCTCAAACTTTTAACTTCTTGTCAAAAATCATGCCCCCAGCAGATTTTCGGCGATGATGATTTAGATTTTGACTTTTCCGATGACGACGGCGACGATGATACACCGTCTTCCGTGGCAGAGTCCGATGATGAAGAATTGGATTCAGAGGACGGACATCCGGATGAAGTTTTCCGGGCAGAGGGTTCTAGTTTTTGGGGAAACAACAGAGGGTCCGATGGTAATTTCACGCTCCGACGGCGTAACGGGTTTTCGTTGTCGGATTTTTCCGCCGGGAAGAGCGTTGTACAGTTGTGGGATAGTTTTGGTTTAGGGTTAGATTTTGAAGACGATGAATCTGAATACGGGAGTGAAATTGCGATCTGGGATTTGGATCGCGACGTGAAATTAAGCTCCGGCAGGCGCTGCGAGGTTGCTGCAGTGGCGGACAATGTTGTCCTGACGGCGGAGATGAATGATAATAACGGCGAAGTGGGTTTTCGTACGTATGATTCTAGGGTGGACGGCAAGTCTCCGGCTATCTACGCGACGTGGCGCTCACGTCACCGGCAACTATGGGCGGACGATGAAAGCGTCACCGGTCAGAAGGAGGAGTGAGCGCGTGATTGTTGCTACTTCTCTTATTCGCTGTAATTGTTAAGGACGACTAGTCCACGTTATAATGAATGAAACGGTGTCGTTCCACATATTGTTTAATTCTTGATTTTCTTGTTTATATTGCAAATAATTGCTTCTCCATACCTTGTGGTTTATATTTATCGAATAAAATGATTTATTTTTTTAGTTTTTTGTACTAAAAAGAAAATAATAAACAAATTTGGTCATATCAATCAAACAATGACCAATAAGAGACACCATATCTGATTAGGCTAGACGAGTAGGTTTTTGTTAAACCTCAAATTTTTTTTTAGTTTTTATCCATATTAGTGTTATACATAAAACTATTTCCCATTCTAGTATACATTCAAAACTATTTACCTTATTAGGCTACAGGAGTGGTAACACTCCTAGCACCTTGCCACATCACTTTTTTGCCTGACGTCATCTTTTTGTCTTAACACCTAAATCTTAGCATTTTATAAGGAGTGGTAACACTCTTAGCGCACCAATTTATTTCTTTTTCAAAATTAATTAAATTATATTATTTTAAATAATATTTTTAAACCACAAACAATTAATATCAAATAAATTATATTTTTTAAAACACAGCATTTCATATTAAATCAAAAAAATTACAATAAAATTTTGCAGGGGGGTTTTATGCAAATTCTAGAAATTTATGTTGTAAAAGAAGTTAGAAGTTAGGGTCGAATCTGTCATAAAGCTAAAATTGAAGGACAAAAACTACCAAACTGTGAAATCTGTGTCATCTTCCTCGTTTGCTACCTACGAACAGATTGATAACATTTCTCTTTTTTTTAGCCTGTACATTTCATTTTCATGGAAAAAATCCCATTTACCAATCATATTGTTCAATTTCTTTCTCTCTCCTCTCGCTAGACCCTTGGTGAACTACTGATAACGAGCTTCATAGCGAATATGTGAGGAGTGGAGTAGTGACTCTTGACGAGATTGTTGGCGAGAGGGGTGGCGAGGCCACTCCCTCCAGCCTTAGTATTATTTTGAATTTAAAACTAATATTACTGTTTTTTTATAAATAAAATAAAAAAAAAACGCTCCATACATGCTGGAACGAAACAACGTACAGAAAAAAAAAACGGGCTAGGGCTTCAATCGTGTTCTTCAGCCAACAGCTTCATCCGCCATAGCCGGCCGCCTGTGGCTTCTTCCTCCTACGTCGGCCACCTGCAGCCTCTTCTGCCCGTCGCCGCCTTCCTACCGCCTCCATAAACTCGCCGGTTTCAAGGTATGTAACATCTTTTCTTTCTCGTTTTTTTGTAGTTTTTTCTGTTTAATTCATTACACTCTCATTCTTTCTTGATTTTGATCCTTCTCCACCGAATTGAAGATCAAGTTCTGCATCTGTTTGATTTTTTTGTATATGGATTTTATCACAGCTTGTTTTTTGATGTTTTTTAAATGGAATTGATTGCAATTTTTACTTCTGCTTCTTTTTTCTTGTTGTCATAGATAATATGAACAATTTTTGATTAGTTTTTGTTTTTTTTTCTTATTGTCATAGATGATATAATCAAATTTTGATCAGTTTTTGTTTCTTTTTTCTTGTTGTCATAGATGATATAATCAATTTTTGATTAGTTTTTGTTTCTTTTTTCTTGTTGTCATACATGATATGATCAGTTTTTTTATTAGTTTTTGTTTGTTTTTATTTGTTTTGTAGATGAATTCTATTAGTTTTTTGATTAGTTTTTGTTTGTTTTTATTTGTTTTGTGGATGAATTCTATTATAGACATGATTGACAATGATGATTTTTCTATAATCTCTCAAGCTGCTGTTATAACTAATATGATGAATATAGACAATGAACTTGAATTAAATGAAAATTTGGAAGATGAAATTGGAGAGGAAAATGATGAAGAAGCACCTTTTGACAACAATGTTCAAGTACCTTCAACTTTTACTAATATGGAAGGAACAAATTTGAATATTGATGACAATTGGATTGTGTCGCACACATTAGATATTCCCAGTCCTACTTGCACATCCAAAAAAAATTCAAATATCCAAATACAAATTCGATTAGAAGGTAGAAATAAAGAAAAGGGGACGCATGGTTCTTGCATTTCCATCCCACGCCTTTCATTCCCAAAGATCCCGGTGATATCTTCGGCCAGCTACCACTATTCATCACCTCCGACCAGTCACCAACCCACCACCATTCAACAACCTCTGTTACCTGCACATCGTAGCCACCACCATCATAAATGAAGTCTGCCTTTCACGTACGACGCCCTCTGGTGAAACCCTTCAACCATGGCCATGATCAGCTTCCGATGACCCTCCAGAAAAAGAAAAAAAAACATTTCCATGGAGAATAAAAATTTGGGAGATAACATCGGGAATTGTGATGTTGTAAAATGTAGGCATTCGAATGGAAGTGGAGACGACGGCGATGTGAACTCTGAAGGCGATTTAGCCGTCGTATGTACCATCGGTAAGGATGAAAGTAAGGAAAGAGGTTGGTGATGGTTTTGTTAACTGTAGAAGAAGCTTCCTTGACGGAAGCTAGGATTTGACGGAAGCACATCTCCGACAGCGTTGGGCGGCAGTTGCCGACGTGTTCCAACGACGGAGGACGAATCCTCTTTAAACGAGAGCTTTGCGGTTTCACCTTCGTCGGAAACCGGTGCTCGGAGTAGTTATATGTAGAATAAAATCATCATAGCCTCGAGTTTCAACTTTCACTCTAAAGATATATAAATTGAAGCAAATAGTTGCAGATGGGGGGAGAGAAAGACATTCTTTAACTATAAGGGATGTTGATTGTTGATGACTAATGGGGGATGTAATCATCGGCTCAACAAGATCCGATTTAGGATCATGCAGTGGCAAGAGAGTGGCAATCACCCTTTTAAAACATCTCGAGGTCAAAGACGTATGTAAACCCAAATGCACTTTTCAGAGAGAGAGAGAGAGAGTGAGAGAGAGAGAGGACATCTCTTATTTTTTAATTGTTTAAATAAATAAGTAAGTATTAGATTAAAAAAATGAAAGAAAAATAAAAAATAAATACCCCAAGAGCATTACAGTCATTTCAGTTTACTAAGGGACCAAATATGTAATGAAACTGGCTCAAAAGGATCACGAAGCCAAAAAAGTCAAGATTTTAACTAAACCTCAGAAAAAATACATATCATAAGAACATTTTTGCAGTTTTATCTAAATTAAGATGTCCAAGAGATGGTAAGGGTGGGGAGAGGCGTAAAGTCAACCTCAAAGTCGGAAATAATTTGTAGATATTGTATAATTTAATTAGTAATACATGACTTTAAGGGATGAAGTAGTCAACTAAAATGATGTTAAGCAAAGATGTATATGTAAACATGTCTCGTACTTAATGTATATCATTACCCTTTATTATAAAAATATTATAGTTTTATGTGGCAATAATTTGATTAATCATTAAAATGTAAAGAAATTTATATTTTTAAGTAATATTTATGATTTTGTTTAGAAAACACCTTATTTTATATACTTACAAATGCATTTGGCTTAGTAATGACCAGCTGAGGAGTGCTTGAGCTAAAGGAGAGCTCAATATGATGGACAAGATGAAAGGTCCTGACGATCACGATGGATGAATGGAAGTTTGACGAAGAAGAAAATCGACAGGGAGGAGTGTGGATCGATGGCGGAATGGGTTCATGACCACCTCTTCTTCTCAAATATCTTAAACGGTGGTACCAAAGAAGAAATCGGGAAGCCCTTTTGTAGAATTGGGGAGGTGATGGACGTACATATGGCTAGGAACAAATGGCAAGAATTTTGTTTTCATTAGATTCAAGGGGGTTTGAAACTGATAGCGTATTTTATTTCCTTATTTTTATTAGTTTATTTTAGTATTTTTAGCTCTTTTTATTAGTATTGCATTGTATATTTTTTATTTTCTTTATCATGGATTGTGTCGGGTACTTTCTATTTTGCATGAGATATTTTGAGGGTTTTGGAGCTCGTTGCGGTTGCGTTTTGACTGCAGTTGGGCTTAGTGGGCTTTTCGATGCATTATTGGGCTTTACGGATCCATCAAAGGAAATTTGGGCTTAAAAAGTTGAAGATTTGGATGAATTGGGCTTTTGAAGATGGGTCATGGATATTCTTATTTTGGGCATGGACTATCCATATTTAAAGCTTGAAGGTGATTGGCAAAATTTGAATCATGTGAGGCATAGAGGGGACCAAGGGAATCTTAGGTAGTGGAGTGGTGTAGTGGAGAAGAATGGACCAATAGCATTCCAGCAACACTTGCGAGGGTGGAATCTCAGTCGCGCAACACTTGCGTTGGTACCTGCGCAACTACACACTTTTGGGCATTTTGGTCATTTTTTTCACCATTTACCTTGGGGGGTTGGATCTTTCAACATTCACTTCGATTTTCCTCCATTGGATACCATTAGAGGCGATTTTGGAGCTTGATACTCATTCTTCTCATCTTTCTAAGTAATTGGTAGATTCTTGATGCAAAAACACTTTTGTGATTGTTATTTTGTTGCCACGAGTGGCTAGTTTCTCTATTTTAGTTAACTTTGGCTAAAACCCTTAGATATTTGTGGGTTTTTGAAGGATTCATGCTTAATTGTCATTTATCTTATGTTTATGATTCTAGTTCATATTTCTTATGCTTGTTTAATACTTTGATCATGAGCTTGGTACTTGAATGAGCAATTGTTGGTTTATTTCTTTGGTTTAGCATTGAATCATTGAATTTACTTAGAACAAGGGCTTTATGATGGTAGAAATCATCTCTAGCTTATGAATCATGACTCCTCTATGGATGTGTAAGCATTGACATCCTCTACGAATTTGGGATTCCTTCATTCTTAAGGCTAATCAACTTCTTGGGTTCAATTACTTCAATTGACTCCTTGATTTTGATTAAGAAGGTGTGTTGTGGGCTTCCCCAACCTCCATACTACCTATGAGGAATCTTGGCATATCATGCTTCATGATTGCTATA